TCATTGTTAATAATAATAATGCGCATTGGAATACGCATTAGCGCCTCGCGTTACTTTAAGATATACTAATCTTAAAATACTCCTCAAACCTTTGAAGGAAAAGGTGCGAAATTTAACTTTTCAACTAATACGATAATTTGAACCCGCGTTTTAAAGCATTGAAGATCGATATTTCTTAAGGTTTCTCAGAACTTTAATCGTTTCTGACATGAAAACGTTTAGAGAAAAATTGCTAATAACTTTTGAACACAACAAAATAAGTCAATCTTGACATTACGAGCTCATAGCTAACACAGAAGTAGATGCTTAAAGCTTACCTAGTCTGCTGTAAATACATTCAGCTCAGCAGGATCAGAAAAATGCTCATATCCAACGTGAAGATACTCCACTCGCCTTTTAGGAACAACCACAACACATTTTCACACACAATTTCCACAAAATCACTCACAACACCATCGCGACACGACGACATTGCGGAAAATCGCCGACAAAGACTTCCCGGCACACAACGAGCCGGACAAAAGTAGAGCGTTCCTCGGAGGGCTCGCCGCACCACGCTCCCCAAACGCCAGCCGACAACTGAACAGACGCGAGTTAGCCCGCAGGGTGTACTACGCCGGTACCGATATTCGTTCTGCGTCGTTATTGGTTGGAATTTAGTCAGGCGCTTTTCCACCACCAATCACTCTTGAGCATTTACGTAAACATTAGAACATCAGAAAAAACGAATCACAAGTTTATCGCAAAAAAAGAAAAAAAACAAATGGACAGATCATCCTACCTCAAAGCAACTTAAAATAAACGCATAAATTGTTCACGATTTTCCCAACAAATCGTTTTAAACGAAGCATTTAACTTTTTATTATTTTCAATATTCCTGATATTAGAAGGAATCAAATTGTAAAATTTAGGTGCAAGATATAATTATGGGACACATAATTTGCATTTAATTTCTTATTTGCATGTACAAATAAACTACATATACTGCAAGGATATATTTATAAGATTTTAATATTGTTAATTTCTTGCATAGTGGGATATGATCTAGTTTTTTTTAAGAATAATCCTTACAATATGGTTCTGCACCACTTTTAGCTGCCCAAGATTTGAACCGTACATCCCAACCCACACAAATATGCCATATACCAAAAGGGGCACCACAAGTGCTTTGTAAATCATCAATATTAGTTTAAGTTTCAGGATATTACGAAGAGTGTAGAATTTATGGATGAAAAATATATTTTTTTCTCAAGTACAGCACATGCTGGTCCCACTTCAAGTGCTGATCAACAACAACTCCCAAATATTGAATTGCATTTACTTCTTTCAAAGGCTCATCTATATTATCAGGCGTAATTTGATTAAATGCTGGTCTATTAGCCATTGTTATGGAGAAGGTAATGTAATGAGTTTTTTTATATTCAAAGTTAATTTAAATGTGTCTAGAAGGTTCTTAAGCATTCTAATGACGTTTCAGGTCTTTTTGTTATTTTAAACAATAACAATAGGGACCGTTGCCTTTGGCTCGTACATTTTTCTGTTAGAAACGCTTCATTAATAGGGTGTCCATGCTAAGGCTGACAACACTGCTAATTCTACTCAATCTAAAGAATAGTTTTTTACTCTTGGCTTTGTCTAAGTATGGTATATTGTGGAACTAACGCCTCTAAGTCAAATTATATATATATATATATAAGAAAGCTGAAACATTTTTTAACGGAAAGGAGCTACAGCTTCAGTTCACTGAAAATATTGGTCAATTATACATTGACACAGATCCTTTCAGAATAAAACAATCTGGTAAATAATATTTTAATCAATTACGCTGATTAACGTTTTCCACAACACGTGAGAATAAAAACAAACATATATACTTATTTTTTGTACTATGTCAAATACCAAAAAGCAGACGAAGATATATACCAAATATAAAAAAAACCCAAAAGCTTGAAAATTTTGAGATTTTCCAAAAATTGTCTCATCAAAAATTGTTTAAAATAATGTAGAAATTAATATTATGTAATTAGAATGACTAGCTGGTACAGTTGTAATAACATTAATGTTAATAGTATTGTACAATTATTATTATTGTAATGGCGAATAAACATTCATTCATTGGCAACACATCTTCAAACATCAAGAAACTTAAATTTCCGTGAGGGAGGTTAAAAATCCCCCCATTTTTTGATGAAAAGATTACTTTGTTGGAATAGTTTATTATATCTAATATTAACGTATTGTTTTGGCTGTGTTTCCCACTCTTTCCTATAAGTTTGCTGTCTGTGTTTGGCTTTCTTCAAAGATACCGATACTTCTTTTGTTTTTGTTTTCTGTATTCGAGAGTATCGCATCTTTTGTTGTCTCTTCCAGAGCAACTTGATCCGGAATCCGACATACACTTATTATCGTTATTGAATTGAAACCGGTTAAATATCGAAAATAACTGATAACGATCTTTTGATTTCAAAGTTTCAAAAGTTATATGGGTAAATAAAAATATGCGCGTCATTTCAATACATAGAACCATAGAACGTGAGAACTGATTGACGGCAATTTTTCCCGTTGATGTTTACCGAGATAGTCCGCGTAATGCTACGCAACCCATTATACAGAGTGGGGTACGCGCGCTTGTCTACCAAGCGGCTACACTGACAGCTGCTTGCGGGTGTTAATTGAACGTAGTTGTTACGATTGATTCAAGATCTGTGAGTGAAAAAGCTCATTCGCGAAATTATCGTACATTCAGCTATTATCCTACACATAGTATCGTAAATCGTACAGTACTTGAAATTATTGTACAGAAACGACAATTATCATACGTCTGGCAACGCTGACCACAATGGTGGACTTTGTGGTGGGTGCCGATATGCAGCGCCATCTATTGGACAATAGCAGAATGAAAAATATATAAATCCGTACACCTTTCTTAAATGATTTTAAGCTAATTCTGTCCATTTTCAACTAGACATCGTTGTTTTGGCTTTGCTGAAAAATAAAGCGTCCTCCTTGCATGCATTGTGGCTTACTGAACGGATTTAAAATAAATAAATAAAAAAATGTTTATTCGCCATTACAATAATACTAATTTTACAATATTAAAATTAATATTATTACAGCTGTACTTTCTACTAGCTACTTATCCTAATTACATAATATTAATTTCTACATTATTTTAAACAATTTTTGATGAGACAATTTTCGGCAAATCTCAAAATTTTTAAGCATTTGGGATTTTTTTATCTTTGCTATATATTTTCGTCTGTTTTTTTGTATTTGAGATAGAATGTGAGCGTTTTTTACGAGAATTTGGGATATTTACAAAAAAATAAGTATACAGGGTGGCCCATCCATGTGTGGACGGAATATTACTCATAAACAAATACATTTTGGGAACACCTATTTATGAGATGTTATACATGACATTTGAGGGCACATTTCTAAAATATTCGCCATTATACAGGGTGTCCTAATTTCGACCTACATATCAAAGTTGTGATTTTTCAAATGGAATGCCTCAAATTTTACAAAAATGGGATGATAGTCTCGCATACCCAGAGCTTGCCAATTTTGTTCAAATTTTATTTACATTGCCACACAATAGCGCAAGTGTGGAAAGATTTTTTTTACATTAATTAAAACAAAACAAAATTGCGTAATCGGCTGGGTGCTACGACAATAAGTGGAATTTTGCACAGCAAAATACCAATTAATACCGGAGATAAAAGATGCTTTAATTTCAAGGGACATTATAAAAAAAATAATATGTACTCGTAAGAATGTCATTCTTTTTAAGTTTGTTTATTTTAATGTAGTTTTAAATGGGTTATATTTAATTTATTTTTTATTGTAACGTTTTTAAGCTTTACATTTTTGTTGTTTGTTTTAAGAGTGTTTTAAGAAACTTTTAACATAATAATATGTGCTCGAAAGAAAGTCATTCTTTTTTAAATTCGTTTAGGTTAATGTAGTTTTAAGTAAGTTATATTTAATTTCATGTTTATTGTTACGTTTTTAAGCTTTCAAATATATTTGGTGTTTTATTACTTTTGTCTGTTTATATTTATGGTTTCTTTTAAGTGCCTGTTCTAATGTACGGTTTTGTTGTTTGTTTTTAAAAGTAAATATCGAAAATAACTGATAACGATCTTTTGATTTTTAAGTTTCAAAAGTCATATGGGTAAATAAAAATATGCGCGTCATTTCAATATATAGAATGTGAGAACTGATTGACGGCAATTTTTCCCGTTGATGTTTACCCAGATAGACCGGGTAATGCTAGGCAACCCATTATACAGAGTGGGGTACGCGCGCTGTCTACCAACCGGCAACTCTGACAGCTTCTGCGAGTGAAAAAGCTCATTCGCAAAATTATCGTACATTCAGCTATTATCCTACACATAGTATCGTAAATCGTACAGTACTTGAAATTATTGTACAGAAACGACAATTATCATACGTCTGGCAACGCTGACCACAATGGTGGACTTTGTGGTGGGTACCGATATGCAGCGCCATCTATAGGACAGTAGCAGAATGAAAAATATATCCATCCGTACACCTTTCTTAAATGATTTTAAGCTAATACTGTCCATTTTCAACTAGACAAAAAATCGTTCAGTTGGACTACCATCCCATAGATGGCGGTTCTTTGTAAAATGTTATCACAGGTCACACAAAATTCAACTAGTCAAAAAGATCCTTTAGGGTCGGTTGGTCAGTGCTTGGGAGTTCCCTATGACAGTGCATCTTCAAAGATCAAGAAACTTAAATTTCCGCGAGGGGGTTAAATATTCCCCCATTTTTTGAAGAAAAGATTATTTTGTTAGAATAGTTTATTATATCTAATATAACGTATCGTTTTGGCTTTGCTGAAAAATAAAGCGTCCTTGCATGCATTGTGGCTTACTGAACGGATTTAAAATAAATAAATAAAAAAAATTTTATTCGCCATTACAATATTAATAATTTTACAATATTAACATTAATATTATTACAGCTGTACCTTCTACTAGCTACTTATCCTAATTACATAATATTAATTTCTACATTATTTTAGACAATTTTCGGCAAATCTCAAAATTTTTAAGCATTTGGGATTTTTTTATATTTGCTATATATTTTCGTACACATTGAACTCAAACCGCCAGATAAATCTGGTTTTCAGTGTATTGGCGATTGGAACAGTAATGATATAGGTTTGGTGTTTGGTGTGGGAATAAATACTATTTCTGGTAGTTATATGTTTATTTCACTCAACCTCCAATAGAATTAAATAATAAATAATCCAACATATTTACAACGGGCGTGTAGTTGTCATTTAGATGACAAAGAGTCATCGGCCCGTACAGCAGCAAGCAGAGATGAGTTTGTGTTCTGAGCAGCTGTTCGCGTGGAGGAAACTGCAATCTGCATAATAACATTGGTGGGGTACAACAGCTGAAAATAGAATGATCTCAGCTATTTTGCAAAGTTTCGAGTTAAAATTTCAATCATTTAATATTTATCAGTAGACTTAAAACTTGTAAAAGTATGGTCATTACAGCACTCCTAGTCAGTGTTGCATTTTCAATGTCATTCAGTATCATATCGATGTAACTGGATTCAAATTTAGTATTAACAGTAAAATAAAGTACATATAGAACTGACCACTCTTATTTTCGGTCTTTTTCTACCAAATGTGGAAACCTTGTAAAAATGCATGATCCAAAAAAATTGCAATTAAATGAATACAATATACAGAGAGTACAGATAAGGATCCTATGTATGGGGATCTCAGTACCCGTGGGAGATTCTTAGGCTAAACCACTGATTCCCAAAGTGGTCTATATCGACCCCTAGGGGTCTATGACAACCTGCAAAGGGGCTACGTCAGCGAAAAAAAATTTGGGGGTCCATGAAATGAATATGGGGGTCCACGATAGTGGATCTCAACACATACACTGATAGTACCTATTTACTTACATCATACTATCTTATAATATTAAAACATATACATTATTTATAAAAGTACCTATGAAGTAAAAAATTTATTATATATGTTTATAAAATTGTGTAAGTTGTAGGATGTTGGTATTCGCTTTGTGGTCGCAATACATTTTGAACTTGTAAAAACCTGAGAGTCGCAGTCTCAGAGCTTCGCCTTGCACTGACTTGTTCAATTCGTCACTCTATAAATACGAATGTGGGAAATACGTTTATTCGTTTCCTGAATCTTGAAAAGGAAAGTGCTAAGAAAATATTTTAAAAAATATAAACAGATAGTATATCACACAAATTACGTTATAGTGAGTCAGTGTTATTTTGTTTGAGAGTGCTGGCGAAAAGTAAGTACATTATTTTTTATTAAATTTTAGTTTTGTACTCGTAGTTAGAAAAGATAGATAAATTACGCCAATCATGACTAGTTATTAGTAGTTAAATATTCAATCATGCAAAATTACACGAGTACTCCTCAATAGTTTCTTTTTGAAAGTTTTAGCAATCGGTACTATAATTACAGTGCAATCTCCGTAATTCGAGCTAATTTTTGCAAGAAGATGTTCGAATTATGGAATGTTTTCGGAAAAATCAAAAAATACTTTTAATATACAGCTGCTGGATTTTCTGTCTTATTTAAATAATTTAATTTTGCCCACAGATGACTGATGCCATGTCCGAATCTAAAAAGAAATGTAGACAGTACAGCAACAATACTGTTGAAAGACGTATTGATGAAATGAGTTCTGATATTGAAAGCTTCTTATGCAATTATTTGCAAACGACCCATTTCTCTATACAACTGGACGAGTCAACTTTACCTGATAATGCAGCATTATTATTGGCATATGTTTGTTTTATTATGAATCAAGAAATCTACGAAGAACTGCTCTTCGCAAGAACTTTGATAACCGACACTAAAGGTGAATCAATATTTCATGTTTTGAAGAATTACTTCATTGAAAAAGCAATTCCTTTATCAGATATAGTATCAGTAGCTACAGATGGAGCACCTGCCATGGTTGGACGTTATCCTGGATTTATAAGCTATTTAAAACAAAATGTGTCAGGGGTGTCATCCATCGACAACATTTAGTTGCTAAAAATTTGAGTGTTAGATTGCATGAATCACTTCATTTAGTCATTGATGCAGTAAACCGAATCAGAAGCAACGCGTTGAATACGCGGTTATTTGCGCAGTTGTGTAAAGAAAATGACGAACACTTTCATCAATTACTCCTTCACACTGAAGTACGCGGGCTGTCGAAAGGCTTATGTTTGACAAGATTTTTTCCACTTTTTGAGAGTATTTTAGAATTTCTGGATACTAAAGGTAAAATTTTAAAAGAAAATTTAATGAAGAGTAAAACAGACATCGTCTATTTAACAGATTTGTTTACAAAATTTAATATGGTTAATTTGCAATTACAAGGCGACAGTTTAAATTTGATTAAAACAAAGTCCATCTTATCAGCGTTTCTTGCCAGAGTTAAACTAATGAAGCAAAATATTGGACGGGGCGAATTTTCTCAGTTCCCCAATTTGTCACAGACAAGCTGCCAGGAAGACGACGTTTCAACTTACGTTCAACATTTAAATGCCCTCTATTCAGATTTTGAATCTAGGTTTGAGGATATTTTGACTATGGTAATACCACCGTGGATAATTAATCCATATGGTGACATAGAAGAAACGAATGTCATAATACAAGAGGAACTGACTGAACTAAGTACAAACGAAGAACTTAAGGTTCAGTTTAAAAACGGATATCAGCAATTGTGGCTGCAAAACAACATACCCGTTACTTATCCCGTATTATGGAATATAGCGAGGAAATTTTTAATTTCCTTTCCATCGTCATACCTAGTGGAAAGGGGGTTCAGCGCTGTTACCAATCTCCTAACAAAAAAAAGAAACAGACTGGACATCATTAGCCGAGGAGATTTAAGATTAACCCTTACAAAATTGACGCCAAATGTTGATAATTTATTATTAAAGCATCAGGTTCATCCTTCTCACTAAAAATATTGACTTATTGCTTATGTTATTTTATTTATAGTTTATTTTATGTTTATTGGTGTCTGACCAATAAATGCCCGCATTGTGAATAAGTGCCCGCATTGATTTTTTTAAAGAACCCCCCTTTATAGAAAATATTTTTTTTTAAATTATTCTGAAAATTCAAGGATAGGTACACACTAAAATTCGTTAATTTTTTGTCTATTTTAAGATAACTTAAACGTATAAGAAGCGGAATTTAATCAAACAATTATTGTAGAACATACGTTTATGTTATAATTAATAAACGAACTCGCTTATTGTACTATTTTAAGTAAACAACTTTTTTTTATTATTTTTCACTTTTTTTTTATCCCATCCCTCTTATTTTTTTTCAATGCGGGCACTTATTTCCAATGCGGGCACTTATTGGTCAGACACCTGCTTATTTAATGTTACGTATATTTTACATAACAGATACAAAATTTTATTTTGAGTTGTTTTAATTTAAATCAATTAATAAATGTATAAATTAACATGTGTTTTTACTTTAAGTTTCTTACACTAAACTTCACTACAGTTAGAAATTTACAGGAAATCAATATCAGGTAAGTAGGGGGTCTACCCAACTCAGAAAAACATGGCAAGGGGTCTACGACACAAAAAAGTTTGGGGAACTCTGGGCTAAACCAAGGAAAAGTTATAGTACGTTCTTTGATAGATATCACCCTTATAAATTCAGGATTTGCCAAGGACTCAGCGAACGTCTGCAACATTTTGGTGAATAGTACACATGAACGTGTGAAGAAGATTTTAATTTCCCTTCAAAAGTAAAATTGTTCGACGAGAGTATGGTAACTAATAATGGTATCTTGAATTTGAGTATTAAAAAGTATAAAATAAAATTTTCAAAAATATGCCTTTGTATAGCGGTTGTTAAAACAACTAACATTTGAAAATATTTTTTTCTACCAGCGTGCGGAAAGTACTCACTTTTCATAATCCAAATAAATGTTCTTTTACTTTCAATATTGTTAATAATTATTATAAATGAATTATTGATGTTGTTGTTGATTTTACAATTATAAAATTAGTAATGAAACATAGTACATATTTAAAATTCTAGGTTTATTATCACGCTGCCTTGTTAGAAAACATCATCTTATACCTAACATTTGCAAAAGTGTATTTTTCTCACTTGTTAGGTAAATAGGAAATATGCAGTTTTACACTTTTTAACCCTTAAAGCTCCCTCATCTCAAGTTTTCATATAAAAGGGCGTTACATCGCTTTTCCCTATTGCTGTTAAAATCAAACACTTTTTTTTAAAACATGCCGAAGGAGCTCTGTTAGCATTTAAATTTAAATGCTACGAAGTATAATACGGCATATTTCCAATCGGGCTAAGTTATTTTTATATTTTTAATTGCTTTTAAAAAATGTTTTGTTTTCTCTATACAGGGCGTTTCAGTTTATTGTCGCATAACTTTAAGATTCGATAGAACTTTTAAAATTAATGCATAAAGTCTTTATAAACATGGGTCGAAAAATGCGTGGCTTCCGAAATACAGGGTGTTTAAATTTACTTTCTAAAATAGTTTTTTTTAAATATTTCGAACAATATTTGATGTATAACAGTGAAAATTGGTATACAAGGGTTTTTTGGTACGGCAAAACGAACCATGGGCTTAGTTTTACTGTAGCCGCTAGAGGGCGCTCTCTACTGTACCTGTAGTGTATTAAAATGACCGAAAATTTTTTTTTGGTGCAATTTTTTGCTTTTTGAATAAAAAAACTGATTCTTCGCACTTTTCAACATAAAAAAGCTCTCTTGTGAATTTTCGTTATAGTTATCCGTTTTTGAGATATTTCGATTTTTAAGGTTCGATGCATTTTTAACTATTTATGATAAAATAACGTTAAAAAGTCAGTATCTCGATAATTTTTAGAAGTAGGCTGTGCCTGCAAATATTTTTGAAATTGAAAGCAGAATAAGGTTAAACGTCAATTAGTTGACAGTTAGTTTTGTTGTCTGTTGAAACCTGAAACGTTTTTTTGCAATTGTGAATGCACGAAATTTAGTTTCTTTTACCTGATTTTTTTTGTAAGTTTTATAAAAATGCCATTTTTATTCTCCAATCACGAGTTAGCGGATATTCATTTTGTGTATGGCTTTGTAAATGGAAACGCAGCAGAAGCAGCCAGAGAATACGCACGAAGATTTCCAAACAGACGACATCCAACTCGCTCAGTATTTGTAAGAGTGCATCGCCAAATAATTGAAAATGGTTTTGGAAATCTCCAAAGGGATCAAAACATAAATGTTCGTGAGCGCAGATTTACCCGTAAGATTCTGCGTGAGTTTGATAGAGATCCGACCACAAGTGTTAGGAGAGTTTCTGGTGCCTTGGGAATTTCAGCAAGCCATGTTCACCGTGTTCTTAGAAATGACCATAGACGTCCTTACCATTTGCAACCTGTGCAAGGACTACAGCCAGGGGACGGAGAACGAAGAATCACATTTTGTCAGTGGATTCTTGATAGAACTGATAATAATAGGGAGTTTTTAAGTAACGTTTCATGGACCGACGAGTCATGCTTCACTAGACGTGGAGTGGTAAATTTTCATAATCAACATATTTGGTCGCATGCAAATCCGCATGCAGTACGGGAAAGAAATTTTCAGCATGAATTTAGTGTGAACGTGTGGATTGGTATCTAACGTAATCGACTATTTGGACCCTACTTTTTGCCTGCAAGGTTAAATGCTGCGACCTTCTTGGAATTCTTAAAGGCTGAACATGCAAATATGTGGGATGATGTTATGTTAGATTTAAGAAGATTGGCCTGGTTCCAGCTTGATGGTTGTCCAGCTCATTATTCGAGAATAGTTAGAAACTGGCTGGACGAAAATTATCCAGAAAGATGGATCGGCCGTGGAGGACCAGTCGCCTGGCCTCCACGATCCCCTGACCTAAATCCATTAGATTTATTTGTGTGGGGATTTCTAAAAGAAAAAGTGTACCAGACTCCCGTAACCACAAGAGATATGCTAATAGACAGAATCAGGAATGCATGTGATGAAATAAGGCGTTATTTGAATAATGCTATACCACGTTCGATCATTCGTAGATGTGAATTGTGTATTGAACAATTGGGTTTACATTTCGAGCAACTACTTTAGTTTTTGTATGTTTGTCCTAACTATCTAATAGCATTTTAGTTGTAAATAATTAATTTAGTTTGTTAAAAATAATATTGGAAAATTAAACAAATTAATATTCTGTTTTTTTGTGTTTATTTGGAGTTAGGAATTATTGCTGTGTTTAAAAACACAATCTAAACGATCATCTTAATTACTTGTAATGCCCAAATCGAAAATGTAAAAAAAATATTAGTTTCCCATAAATAATTAAAAATGCATCGAACCTTAAAAATGGAAATATCTCAAAAACGGCTAACTATAACGAAAACTCACAGGAGAGCTTTTTTATGTTCAAAAGTATTATTCAAAACTACTAAGAAAAATTTTTCTACACTACAGGTACAGTAGAGAGCGCCCTCTAGCGGCTACAGTAAAACTATGCCCATGGTTCGTTTTGTCGTACCAAAAAACCCTTGTATACCAATTTTCACTGTTATACATCAAATATTGTTCGAAATATTTAAAAAAAACTATTTTAGAAAGTAAATTTAAACACCCTGTATTTCGGAAGCCACGCATTTTTCGACCCATGTTTATATAGACTTTATGCATTAATTTTAAAATTTCTATCGAATCTTAAAGTTATGCAACAATAAACTAAAACACCCTGTATATGTTGTATTTTTCTAAGTACGGTGACGCCTAGAAAAGCGTTCTGTATCTGGGATTTTTTTAATTTGCGAGCTAACTTGACTCATGGGCCATTTTTTCGCACAAGATGATCAGACAAATGAAAGTATACGTACTATTAAAAGACTAACAACTGATCCAACCAAAGTACCACACATTAACTGTTTGCCAAATTTGAATAAACGATTAGATAGTAGTAAAAAAACGCTAAGATTTTACATGGCAGTGGTCGAGAATATCAAACAATCTGTGTAATAACATTCTTATTTTTTGAAATTTTCAATCTTCCACTATTTCTTTTATTATGCAGCGCATCGAAAACGAAACAGACGCATTTACTGGCAGCTCAGTTTTTTTTTGGAAAAACGCTCAGACCTGTCGATTTCGTTTTCGAGGGGGACACAAGTTTGGCAAAAATCACGTTAACACGTGCAGCCCCCTGGGCGGGGGTGACACCAACCCTAAAATCTTAAATGGAAAGGGGGTCGAGTGATACCTTATTTTAAAGGTCTTTCAATTTCCTTTATAATGATGTAAAATACATGAGCTTCAGTTCAGTAGTTTTGAAGATTTATTGATTTAAAGCTTAAAGTAGACTTTCAGAAGAAATTTGACTAAAAGAATTTACTTAATAAGTAAATGCTTTTCTTCACTATGCCCATGGTTTGTTGTTGAAAATAGCTATTTTAAGTAGGAATTTAGTACATAGCAGAAAGAGTTGAATTTATCGAAATATTTTTCGGAAATAATCAGTGCGCTAATAGAACAGCAGAAATATTTAATGAACGACATGAGAACAGTAACGTGCATCGAAAATATGTTCTAGAACTTGTAGCTAAATTTCGAGAAACTGGGTCAGTCGCCAATAAAAAACGCAACATTGAAAATCCCATAAGGAACGAAGCAAAAGAAGTGGGGGTTTTAGGGCAAGTTTATGTAGATCCTACGTTAAGTACCCGCAAATTGGAGACTGTGTGTGGTATTAGTCGACGTACTGTCCAACAGATTCTAAAGGCCCATAGTTTTCATCCGTATAAAATTCACCTGGTACAAGAACTTAATGAAGACGATTTTGATCGACGATTACAATTTTGTGAAGATATGAGAGAACGAATTATAAACAATGAGCATTTTCTATTCAACACTTGCTTTTCCGATGAATGTTCCTTTTTCTTAAATGGCGTAGTAAGTCGTCATAACTGCCGATATTGGCCCGATTCTAATCCCAGAATTTATCATGATGTTCATACACAGCAGCCACAAAAATTAAATGTTTGGGCTGGTATTTTTGGCGATCATTTAGTTGGTCCTTTTTTCTCACCTGGAAATTTAACCGGTGAAATGTATTTGGAATTACTCCATAGATCCTGCATTAACAGCCATAATTGAAAACCACAATGATCGGCGGTACATTGCGAATAGGTTGATGTTCCAACAGGACGGTGCCCCACCACATTACGCATTACGTGTTCTACAATATTTAGATCAGACGTTTCCAGATCGATGTATTGGTAGAAGAGGTGCCATTGAATGGCCCCCAAGTTCGCCAGATTTACCACCTTTGGATTTCTTTATGTGGAGTCATTTAAAAAGCAAAATCTATGCTACTCAGCCAACATCATTAGAAGACCTGCGACAAAGAATTGTGAATGAGTGCCTTCAAATTACTGAGCGTTTTTAAAAAAAAACTGAGCTGCCAGGAAATGCGTCTGTTTCGTTTTCGATGCGCCACCCTGTATAGGTGATTTATGGTATATCCTACAAGCAGTTAAAGTAAATGACTCAAATTTGAAATCGCCCTGTATATTTAATATTCTACTCACCATATGGGTTATTGGTATTCCGGCAACAGCAGGAATCATGCAATAACTTTTCTGAGCAGTAACTGTAAACGGATGAATCGCATAGTGGGCATTGTCTCCGGAACAGATTTCCGAGGAATGGGATGTCGATGAGATTGAAGAGGCTTGGTGATACTCCGGTGTCTACATCGTTTCCATAAACTAAACGATAAACAACAAAAACAGTGAAAATATTTATAGAGCGGATAGTACTTTTGATAACAACTCTGAAGGTTCCTATAGCCGAAATCACGAAAGATGACGATTACGTCATCATTTTAGTCTGTAGTATAGTCAAACGACAGCGATTGGTGAATATTTTTAATGAAGTTTCAGATATGTTAGAGCGAGACAAACATAATTTTATTGTTTAAACAAACTATATTGCTAATTTGCATGTATCCACAAAGATAGGCGATGTTTTCATGTTGCTTGAAAGATGAACAGTTAGGTTATGTTGTTTTCGAATAATACTTTGGTCTTTGGTGTTCCTGTCGTAAGGCATGAACTTGAAATGAAATCATTCCCTCACCCATTATAAATATCCACACCTCACCATTTGATATTGTTGAACGCAGCTGTTATGTTTTTAAAACTTGGCAATACTGCACTATATTAGAAAGTGAGGGAATGATTTTTGCATATATAAAATTGTGGTTTGGGTGTTATTGTTCAACTCCAGGTTGTATAGCATGTGTTTTTAATTTTAACAGATATCTGTATATCAAGAATGGGGAAAATGAAGAAGTGAAGAAGAAAAGAAATTAAAAAAGAAGGAGTGCGACAGAAAGAGGCAAGAACAAATGAAAATTAATGCTGAGTCTTTAGAAGCTTTGCGTGAAAAAGAAAGATTAAAGTATTTAAAGAAGAAGAGTAAAGATCAAGTTAATTCAATAAGTTCCATGAGTGCAAGAGAAGCTAGCCAAACACGAAAACAACGGAAAAATAATAGTAAAGTTTATATTGAAAAGAGAGAGTTACCTTACAAACAAATTTACAGAGAATAGTTGAAGAAACACCCCCACCAAGTCCTGCACCATCTTTACAGTACAGAGAATTTGACTGCTCTCAATAGACGTAGAATGCGCAAGCGGGAACTATTCTATACGCGAAGATTAAAAGTTTGGAAAGTAAAGTAAAGAACGCAGTCAAGAAGAGGTGTTTGAGATTGAAAACTAAAAATACTGACCCAAACTCTCCAGCAACTAAAGTGTCTTAGCTTTTAAATAATATACAAGTTCCTGAAGTTGTAAGAAAAATACTTGGAAGTAAACATGGAGAAGAGAAAAAATATTACAAAATCTCGAAGCTGCAATTAGTACAAAAGGTACAAATTGCTATAAACAGGGTGTCCGCAAAGTTGGGGTTTTCCTTTTCAGAAACATGTACCCTTAAAATAACAAAGGTAATGTGTAGTGAAACGAGGGCGACCAAGTAAAAAAAAAATAAAGGAAAAAGTACTCACTTTCCAGTTGACGAGAAGGGCTAAGTACGTCTCTGCCCGAAATCATACCGCTCCAACAGAAAATGAAATCAGCTGATGCGCTACCGAGCAGACGCAGAAACCACATTGATTGTCTTACACTTAATGGCACATCTTCTAACAAGGATGGCAAAATGTTGCGTAAAAAGTCTAGGTATTGCATCCCGTCCAATCGATTTGGGAGAATAAATGGTCCAATGAGCATACCGTTCACCATGCCAGCCCAAACATTCACCGAAAATGTTTGTTGAAAATGTGCCCGACGGACAGCGTGCGGATTTTCTACTGACCAAACATGAGTGTTGCGAAAGTTATTCACCCCATTACGCGTGAACGTAGATTCGTCTGTCACCAATATGCACTTCAAAAAGTCCGGATTATTGTCATGTTGTTGCAACAACCACTCACAAAACCGCACTCTTGCTGGAAAATCGTCAGGTTGAAGGGCTTGTACACGTTGGACGTGAAACGGATACAGCCCCTCTTCACGCAGCATTTGCCTCTCTTTAGTTTTTGATACTTGCACTTCTCTAGTCACGTATCTAGTGCTTGTTGAGGGATTCTCGTCTACGCGATTACCTCTACACGCGTGACCGTAACCGTCGGTTGAAGGTTGCATACTGACCTGACACACTGACCCCGACCCAGTTCTGTCGTCGGGTTGAGCCAGTGACCTTGTACCAGTCGGTGATGTCGCGGCTACAGGACGATATTCAGATATTTTTGATGTTGCAGAGCCCTTTATCTCGGTTCGCTTAAGATATTGGTGTATATGGTACTAAGAAAAATTGCTTATGTTTTCAAGATCTACACGTCGTGTAAAGGAAAACCCCAACTTTGCGAATCATTTTTTCAAAAACGATACGTACACAAGAACTGTACTCGTAAAGTTAGCTCCAAAATGCTGAAACTTAAGGGTGATGTTGTTCATTTCTTAGAGAAGGATTAAAAAATGAGGATGTGACCAGGGAAGAATCACTATCTAAGCTCTCTAAGGTATAAAACAAATCTCAATACTTCTACTAATAAATTAACTTATGTTTTTTATTGAAATTCAGCATCAAATTGTTGTAAAAATCATTTCCCCTCCTATCACTCATTCCCTCGTTTCATAGTTTCTTAAAATTCATTTTTCTACACGTTATACACAAAAATATGAAGGAGCTTCATTATCGATGAACCTCACTAAAGTAAAATATTATATTTCTGCAAAAAAAGAATATATTTTCATTATTTTTTTTTAAGAAGTGCAAAATGAAATTTCTAAATTTGCTGAGAAATACCCAATTATTGATGCATAATAAATACGCAGAAATGCACTTCGTTAGCGAAATCCCAAAGGCGAGGTTCGAATTTGAAACACACCTAACATGTGACATGCCTCAATCGTCTTTTGTTTTCCAGAAACCCGTCTCAACTTTCATTTTTCTTATAGCCGCCATATTGGATTTTTTGATTTTTGAAAAGAGTGTAAAATTTCCAGTCTAGTGATGTCTCACAGGTGCATAACAGATTGGAGTATCACCGAATTATCATCGCACGTAATGTTATGTATTAGTTCTTTTTCTAAGGAGGCCATGATCTATTTGTCAGAAAATCACATTAATGAGTAAGGAATAAAAAAGATCGCTCACTGGATTGCATCTATTTATCTCTGCCGAACCTTTTCAATTTTTGATTCGGATCCAAACATGTGTTTTGCGCGTTATGTTGGTACACAAATACTTTATATTTTTTATTCAGATGTGAAATGTTGTCAAATTGTTGTTGATTTTTTTAATGATCAAGCAGATAAGAAAGTCTCAGTACAAGAAGCCATTAATCATCTGCAGATTGTTTGAAAGACATTATTTCCAGAACAAGGTCTAGAGAGATTAAATTGTGCGACCATAACCTTTGCTAAAAAAATGGCGTCAAGTAGATGGACTCTATACGTCCTCCTCTTCCTCCGATAATATTCGAACTTCGGTTCACAAGTTTGCTGTTGCCTAAGGATATCTGCATTACACAAGTCCGTGTTTCTCATTTATGTCGGTTTGCCAGTTCATGTCTGTTGTATAACAAAACGTCATAAGTACTGCGTCGATCTACTTGACGAAATATTCAGAGATCCATCATAGACGGAGTACCACGAACTAAAGGTTAGGCAGTACATTGATAGGAATCAAAAGATTACGATTTGATCGAAAAAAAACATATATCTTATTTTTTCTAAAAAAAATCGTCTTATTTGCAACAGTGCAAAAGATTTTTACCTCGAAATGAAAATCGACGAGTTCAAGCAAATTTTTTCCAGAGCTCTGATCGCAAACAAATGGCTGATTTGTAACCAATACGATTATTGTTTGCAAAATATAGCTGCAAAATGCAAATAAATGACAAACATACTAACTCCACCAATACAAATCGTTTATTTCTGCCCACTTCTCTAGCAAAACAGAAAAAACTCGTTGGAACGCTCTTATCAGTAACCAGAAATAGTCCCACAAAAAATGTTTGACGCTGATTGGTCAACCAATACGATTATCGCCTGCAGAATATTCTAGGGACAATCTGCTAGGTGTATGGCTTGTAGGCGGGTCTTGGGATGGGATTTTCAAAATACGCTGACAGTGGATATTCTGGTACTTTGACAGTTGATTATCAATTAGTATGTCTACAAATCTTTTCTTCTTTCTGTATTGTGGTTCATACGTGATGCTGAGAGAGACTGGACATATACTAAGTGACATATAAATCCGAACACCCAGTTTAAATGGTTTTATTTTAATAAAAGTTGGTGAATGTATTTATCATACTGTAAATAACAAGTGAAAAAATTTTCAGCCTTATCAGTTGCACATTCCGGTTTTTATACTGCTTTTTTTTTAATTCACTAATGCTCTAAAAATGAATAATTCAGCCGTAGTAAAGAATCAACGTTGGCGGATTTTGGTTCTTGACATCCTTTACGATCGGTTACGATGCCTAGAGTACGGAGACCTGTACGATTTCGTCAACTTAGTGAGTTTGATAGGGGCCGTATAGTGGGACTTCGGGAAGCTGGACTTTCTTTTCGGGCAATTGCAGTTAGAGAGCTAAGAAGTGTAGACACTGTGGTTAGGTGTTGTCAGGCATGGCTTCGAGAAGGCCGTACGCAAAGAGCAAGGGGCACTGGACGCCGCCGTAGAACAACAGACCGTGAAGATCGCCGCCTATGATTATTGGCCTTAAGGGACCGTTTCTCCACTACCAGGTCCATTGCAAATGAATGGTTTGCAGAACACGGAAGACCTATTGGCATGCGAAGTGTTTACCGACGAATGAGAAGTTTTGGCTTGTTTTCATACCGGCCACACTGGGTCCTCCCTTTAACTCGAGAACACCGACATAATCGCCTTGAGTGGTGCAGACAACGGTCACTCTGGGATCAGGAATGGAACAGTATTGTCTTTAGTGACGAGTCTCGATTTTGTTTAGGCATGCACGATAGTCGTGCCAGGGTTAGAACGCGACGTGGTGAAAGGAGGAATCCACAGTTTTTTGTCGAAAGACATGTTCATCACACTGTTGGAGTTATGGTTTGGGGTGCTATAGCTTATGATTCCAGGTCACCTTTAATCTTCATCAGATGGAACATGAACGCGCAGCGTTATATCCACGAAGTTCTAGAACCCCATCTTTTACCCTATCTTGACACCCTGGCAGATCCAACTTTCCAACAAGATAATGCCCGACCACATGTTGCAAGAGTCACAATAGACTTCTTTCAACATAATGATGTCACATTGTTACCATGGCCACCAAGATCTCCCGACTTATCCCCAATTGAGCACGTGTAGGATATGATGGGTAGGAGATTGCTCAATTTGCAACGTCCTCCTCAGACTCTAGAAGCACTTCGAGAGGAGTTGGTGGTTGCCTGGAATGAGATACCACAGGAGGACATTGACCACCTGATCAGAAACATGCCTAGGCGCGTTGGAGAATGCGTAGCACATCAGGTTGCATCCACACCTTATTAAAGGTCAAAGGGCTTTAAAGCAGTGCAATCAATTTGAAATTTTTATCATTTACTTAATAAAACTATTTAAACTGGGTGTTCGGATTTATATGTCACTTAGTATATATTCACATTCGTATATACACAATTCCATAATGTCCACGCTCAAAATGAAACCATTATTAGGGCGTAGACAATGAACTAACGCATATTTTCTCTTAATTCAAGGAACTATGTAACATGTTGCTGACTGGCTTCACATTTAGGATCAGTAAATTCGGTTTGCAAATATCATCGAAAAACCGAAAATGGCGGAATTTGTTTGTTGCCAGTAATTCCAAAACGGTTAACACACTAATAGTTGGGAATTTGTCCCAAAAGATTTGGCTTGCCGAGAAGTGGATATTGGCGTTACTATTCTATTGAAAATTCAAGCCGTTTATGTGTTTTTATGCCTTACTCAATGTTATTTTCTGACAAATAAATAATGGCCTCCTTAGTAAAAAATTAATACACAACATCACGTGTGATGATATTTCGATGATACTTCAATCTTTCATGCACTTGTGAGACATCACTAATCTGAAAATTTGACGCTCTTTTCAAAAATCGAAAAATCCAATATTGCGGCGATGAGAAAAATGAAAGTTGAGGCGGGTTGCGGGAAAACAAAAGACGATTGAGACGTATCATACACGCTATCTTATTTGCCTTAAAAAATGACCGAATAATGTCACATTTTGACACCTGACAAATTAACCGTTTCGGATTTACTGGCAAAGAACTAGGTGGGTAACTTAACAATCTGAAATGAAAGAAAACGTTTTTCTATGACATACGATGATACTTCTATTGAAAATTCAAGCCGTTTATGTGTTTTTATGCCTTACTCAATGTCATTTTCTGACAAATAGGTAAATCATGGCCTCCTTAGAAAAAAATTAATACACAACATTACGTGTGACGATATTTCGATGATACTTCAATCTTTCATACACTTGTGAGACATCACTAGGCTGGAAATTTGACGCTCTTTTCAAAATCGAAAAATCCAATATTGCGGCGATAAGAAAAATGAAAGTTGAGGCGGGTTGCGGGAAAACAAAAGACGATTGAGACGTGTCATTCATTGTCTTGTTTGCCTTAAAAAATGACCGAATAATGTCACATTTTGACAGCTGACAAATTAACCGTTTCGGGTTTACTGGCAAAGAACTAGGTGGGTAACTTAACAATTTTAAATGAAAGACAAAGTTTTTCTATGACATACGATGATACTTCTATTGAAAATTCAAGCCGTTTATGTGTTTTTATGCCTTACTCAATGTCATTTTCTGGCAAATAGGTAAATCATGGCCTCCTTAGAAAAAAATTAACACACAACATCACGTGTGACGATATTTCGATGATACTTCAATCTTTCATGCACTTGTGAGACATCACTAGGCTGGAAATTTGACGCTCTTTTCAAAAATCGAAAAATCCAATATTGCGGCGATAAGAAAAATGAAAGTTGAGGCGGGTTGCGGGAAAACAAAAGACGATTGAGACGTGTCATACACGCTATCTTATTTGTCTTAAAAAATGACCGAATAATGTCACATTTTGACAGCTGACAAATTAACCGTTTCGGATTTACTGGCAAAGAACTAGGTGGGTAACTTAACAATTTGAAATGAAAGACAAAGTTTTTCTATGACATTCGATGACACTTCTATTGAAAATTCAAGCCGTTTATGAGTTTTTATGCCTTACTCAATGTCATTTTCTGACAAATAGGTAAATCATGGCCTCCTTAGAAAAAAATTAATATACAACATTACGTGTGATGATATTTCGATGATACTTCAATCTTTCATGCACTTGTGAGACATCACTAGGCTGGAAATTTGACGCTCTTTTCAAAAATCGAAAAATCCAATATTGCGGCGATAAGAAAAATGAAAGTTGAGGCGGGTTGCGGGAAAACAAAAGACGATTGAGACGTGTCATACACGCTGTCTTGTTTGCCTTAAAAATGACCGAATAATGTCACATTTTGACAGCTGACACATTAACCGTTTCGGATTTACTGGCAAAGAACTAGGTGGGTAACTTAACAATTTGAAATGAAAGACAAAGTTTTTCTATGACATACGATGATACTTCTATTGAAAATTCAAGCCGTTTATGTGTTTTTATGCCTTACTCAATGTCATTTTCTGACAAATAGGTAAATCATGGTCTCCATAGAAAAAAATTAATACACAACATTACGTGTGATGATATTTCGATGATACTCCAATCTTTCAGCACTTGTGAGACATCACTAGGCTGGAAATTTGACGCTCTTTTCAAAAATCGAAAAATCCAATATTGCGGCGATAAGAAAAATGAAAGTTGAGGCGGGTTGCGGGAAAACAAAAGACGATTGAGACGTGTCATACACGCTATCTTATTTGCCTTAAAAAATGACCGAATAATGTCACATTTTGACAGCTGACAAATTAACCGTTTCGGATTTACTGACAAAGAACTAGGTGGGTAACTTAACAATTTGAAATGAAAGACAAAGTTTTTCTATGACATACGATGACACTGACTGATGCTAAATATTCTTGCTGGTATCCATGATTATTTCGTGCCATGCATTTCGTTATTATCTGTATTATGTTAGTCGGATTTTATTATAAACTCAAATAGCTTCACAACGATTGAAGATAGGTATGAACTTTATTATATAAAAGTGACTAAAAACTTCATTGAAAATCTAAAAATTAAAAAATGGTGGTTTCCATTTAAAAATCCAAAGATTAACGCAATATCTTATTTTTGGATCACCCTGTATTGTACAACTATAGAAATCAAAATTGACGTGTCCGAGTGTTTTTCCTAAAATATACCAGAAGAGTTGGGGCACCCTGTATATTTCAACCAAAAATACATTAAGTTTCGAGTCAACAAGTTTAATAATTTTCGTGCATTTTAAACTCCATTACCGTAATCGTTCATGACTTGAGCGAAGAAGACATATGTAATCATTAAGCACTACTCTAGATAACATTCTTGTACTTACATGTTGCGGCTGCTACTGCGGTGGCCAGAGATAAAGAAAACAGAGATAAACACGATGTAAATAGTCTACTCATTTTGGTCTTCTCTGCAAAACAGTATTGGCGACTGAAAAGGAATCCGATGTTCCAACGGCTTAACAGACGCAACATAACTGTTCTTTATCATAATGTTTAATCATTATTATTCTTCAGCCCGTTCCGCTTAACTGTACATATTGATGAAGACGTTTTCTTGAACCGAATTTCTTCGGAGATTATAACTTTTGGTTATAGCAAATCATTTGACTAACAGCTTCTATACAAATAAAATTGCGTTGTGGCATCTTATTTGTACTGGGACCAATCGCAACTTTCGTAGCTGAACAATATTTGCATTATAGAAAAAAAAATGACGTCAAGTAAGTTGACTCTATGTCCCATCACTTCAACTTAGATTATCAATCAGTGGGTCGGCAGATGAGACCCCTTCGAGTGGCCGCCGAGATCTCTGGACCTAAGTCCTTTAGCTTACTTTCTTTGGGGGTATTAGAAAAATAAAGTTTTTAGTACGAAGCCAGATTCCACTCAAAAAGTGTGCAACATTCTACCAGCGGTTTCTAGAGCTTAAAATAGGAAGAAAAGTTTATATAAACATAGGTCGACAAACGTCCCCTAACGGCGCTACGGTTTTTTAAAGGAGCTCCCCTGGAGATGGTTTTTCCCTAATATTTCCGAAACGTGTTGAGATAAAGACATAAAATTTGGTATTCTAGACTAGTTTTTAATGCTGAATTTAAAAATATTAACAATTTTAGACAGTTTTGTTTGGAAGCGTATGTAACAGGGACGGACTCAGGTTATTTTAGCCCCAAAATTTTTGTGTGATTCTATTTCTGAAATTCAATTTTAGAATTTGAAAATTTAGGATTTTCTACATAAAAAAGGTACTCTTATTGAATATCGATAAAGTGTGCCATTTTTGAATAAAATCAAATTGAAAAATTTGCCACATGATAGGAAATGTACTGCGAATTTGAATGAATTGTTGATTATACATAGTTAGCCATGACTGCAAACAAAAGTTGTTTCGATTTGTTATGACTTATTTTGACGTTAAACTGACATTGCTGGCAGTGTAAAATTACTAGATTAAAATCAAAATTTTTATTAAATCGATTTAAAATGCCAAGATTAACAGACAGAGAACTGACTGCATGCATTTTGTGTACGGGTTTTGCAATGGCAGTGCATTGGCAGCCGTAAGAGAATATCAAAAAAGATTTCCCAATCGCATAGTACCTGGACGTCGAATGTTTACTGATATTCACCGGAATTTGTCAAACCATGGAAGTTTTCAGCGCATGCAGGGCTCAGGAAGGCCACTGGGAAATCATCGTATGGATATTGCTTTAAATATGTTTGAAAATAATCCGCAAATAAGCATACGAAATGTTTCAGGAATTATGGATATACCTCGATCAATAGTAAGAAAAATTTATGAATACCTATTTGATAGTTATCCCCTGCACATTTTGGACGCAATGTTCGAAATTGGTTGAATGTCAATTTTCCAGACAGGTGGTTAGGCCGAGGAGGTCCTATAGCGTGACCGTCACGTTCATCTGACCTAAATCCATTGGATTTCTATTTTTGGGGGTCATTAAAAGACCTAGTTTGCTCAACTGAAGTAAATACTCAAGAAGATTTACTCCAAAGAATCCATCAGGCAGCAAATGAAACAAGAAGAAAAAGATTTTCCACTTTTCGGGCTACGCAATCATTAATTCGTCGAGCGAGATTCTGTATCCAACAAAATCGGAATTTATTTGAACATTTATTGTAAAGCTAGTTTTAAGTATATCCAACTGTATGTCTTCTTTTTTAAACAAATTTCAATTTCGTTCGTAGAAAAAGTTTATTTCTTTTGTTTTTGCCTAAATGTTAGCTATGTTGCAATAGAAATATGTATTTATGTAATATTTACCAATTATTAAATTAGTTTTTTCGTTGCCATGGCTAATTATTCAACAATTCATTTAAATTCGCAGTACATTTCCTATCATGTGACAAATTTTTTAATTTGATTTTATTCAAAAATTGCACAATTTATCGATATTCAATAAGAGTACCTTTTTATGTAGAAAACCCTAGATTTTCAAATTCTAAAATTGAATTTCAAAAATAGAATCACCCAAAAATTTTGGGGCTAAAATAAATAGTCCGTCCCTGTTACAAACGCTTCCAAACAAAACTGTCTAAAATTGTTAATATTTTTAAATCCAGCATAAAAAACTAGGCTAGAATACCAAATTTTATGTCTTTATCTCAACACGTTTCGGAAATATTAAGGAAAAACCATCTTTAGGGGAGCCCCTTTAAAAGACCGTAGCGCCCTTAGGGGACGTTTGTCGACCTATATTTATATAAACTTTTCTTCCTATTTTAAGCTCTAGAAACCGCTGGTAGAATAGTGCACAGTTTTTTTGGGACACCCTGTATATTCGTCAGCGGATTACGGCTCAAATAAATCAAGACATGCTTAAAAGTGTGAGGTAAATGGACAGCACTTTCAGCACTTATTATCACATTCACTTACCTCTTTATAGCAAATTAATTTTTAAACTATAAGTTGTTTGTTTTTTTTAATACAGAGAGACTTGTTTTTAATTTTGAAGTAAAGTCAATATTGATTATAATTTTTACGATATCATCTCTTATTATCGCAATTCCTAGAATTTCATTATAAACTCAAATAGCTTCACAACGATTGAAGCTAAAGATAAACTTTATTATACAAAAGTTACTAAAAACGTCACGGATAATCTAAAAATTAAAAAACTGGAGGTTTCCATTGAAACATGTGTAATGCAATATCTTATTTTTCTTATAATCTAAGTTCAAGTGGGACATAGAGAGTCAACTTACATGACGCCATTTTTTTCTATAAAGCATGATTACACGTTGGGACATTAATTCGTAAAACTCCAACCTTCTAGCAAAATCGTCTTCATTAAGCTCATGGACAAGTTTTATCTTGTACGGGTGAAACTTATTGTCTTTCAAAATTCTTTGTACTATTGAATGTGTAAATCCTGAAGAAGCGGCCAGTTGACGAGTGCTTTGGGTGTTGTCAAGTGCTATGTGTCCCAAAACTGCTATTTCTGCGCCTTCATTTCTAACTATACTATAACTATCTAAAACTGTAATGACTCATAGATGTTCACGTGAACATCACTTAACTACCAGTAGTCGGCTGTTCATAGGCGGGGTATGAATGTATAACATGGGTGAACTAGATTTGTCACATGCTTAATAAAGAGTGGTTTGAAACATATTGTAAGTCAAAAATTTGGGAATTACCTTTATTCATCGTCGCTTCCACTTACATCTGACAGTAATAAACTGTCGCTATCGCTTTCCTCGTTGAAATTGACTATAACTGGCTCTATGATGGTGTCGATGTGGTGGTCAAGCTGCCACATTTTTGTTTCTTCCTTCACAACATGACGGATAGCATTCTGCCAAGCTTCGGGCGTTACTAGCTGTATGGAAGTCTCAAGTAAAACCTTAACGTCTGGTAATTTGAAGGTTGTGTTATGGCGCGCAATATAACCCTTCACTTGAGCCCAGATGAGCTCTATTGGGTTCAGTTCACAGTGGTAGGGCGGTAACCGCAGCACAGTGACACCACATTGACGGGCCATCTCATCAGTCACGTAACTAATGTTCGCAGGTTTGTGCTGTTTAATTTTTTCATACAATTCCGCTTTCACACATGAATCGTCAAACGGGATTCCTTTTTCGCGCAACCATTGCTGCATGTCACTTTTTCGAGATCCCATAGTCGGTACACGTTCTGCTCGACGACTATGGTAGGAAGCATTATCCATGACGATCACAGAGTTGGGCTCAACTCGCTGAAGCACCCCTTGAAACCAGCTCTCGAAGCAGCTGGCATTCATTTCGTCATGGTAATCACCTCCTTTCTTAGAGACGAAAATCAAGTCACACTCTTCTAAAAAGCCACTATCGCTACCAATATGAGTTACGATCAATCTTTGACCTTTCCCTGACGGTCCACGGAGACCTGTTGACAAACCTTCAATGCTTGCTTGTCGGTTACTCACTACGTTTCTGTCTATCCAGGTTTTTTTAACTGTGTGACATGCATTTACCCATGTCTCGTCCAAATAATAGATTTTTCTGCTTTGTCGCCTATATTCAATCATTTCGCGTAGGTATTTTCGACGCCAGGCGACTATTTCAGGTCTCTCTATCAATACTGACTTCCGATTACGCGTTTCGTAACGAAAATTAATTTCGTGCAGGGATTTCCTCATTACCTCGACGCTCATTTGGGGTATAATTTCATTTTCCTTGATCGCTGCATGTACAGCCTTGAGGGTTGGTATCTCATTCCTAAAGAAGAATGAATGTACGGTTCGCCTTAACGCCATTTTGCTATCGTCATCCAATTTAACGGCCTTTCGTCCCTTCAAATTAAACTTTGGATCAGTAGTAGCTCCAGTTTTCTTCTTTTCATGCACCCCCCTGCGAATGGTCCACTCTGGAACGCCTGTCATACTTTCACAACGCGCGAGTGCATCTCCCTGCGACATAGTTCTGTTCAGATAATTGAACACGTTGAGCACGATATCTTTCGCGTCCCACTTCAGTGCTTTACGAAGCCGTCTACTTGTTCCCTGGCTTTCAGTACTTCCACTCGTGCCATTTGTACTCTCCATGGTTAAGTATAACCAAAACAGTAACCACAGAAACCACAACAATAACAATCACACAACAATTCTTATAAAAACACACAATATGCGATCGCTCAACGAAACACGTTCCAATGCGTTGCCGACGCCTATGAGTCTGCCGGTCGAGGCGCGTCTTTGATTTCATTGGATCTACCGGCGGAGAACAATCAGCCATTATTTCCATCTCTGTCTGTGCTGTTGACCACCGCAAAGCCACAGAAACGACATATGTCGAACGCTATACGGCTGTACTGGAAGGAAGCCGGGATCGAGCTCTGATCACGTGTTGATCACGCGTATGAGTCATTACAGTTTTAAATAGTTGTAGTATAGTCGATTTTCTGGACGGCGATTACGACAGATCCAGATCCAGAAAATCTAGAAACCTAATAAAATTGGGATTTTCATTTAAAAATCTGAAGTGTAACGCAATATCTTATTTTTGGATCACCCTGTATTGTACGGCTACAGATCAAAAGACGTTCCTCTAGAAATCAAAATTGGCTTGCCTGAGCGTTTTTCCCAAAATGTTGGGGAGTCACAAATAGGGCTGCGAG